TAGCCCTCGGGGACACAAGGCTGCCAGGGATAAAGGGGGGCTGCGGAGGGGCCGTGCCAGCATGATGAGGTGCCACGGTATGGTTAAATGTCATATGCAGCTCCAAGGGATTGAGGGTATCCCAGACTAGAAACACTGAGGGCTACAGTCCCAGGATTGAGAATAGACGCTGTAACTGTAAACAATGTGAGGGCTGCTGGTTATCACTGTGTGAGAGGACACACGCACCACACATAGCAGGGCCCTTGACAAATGACTCTTGTCCTTCCTCACTGCTTCCCGGTTGTCAAGGGCTTAAAGGTTCACTACTGTGACAAGCACGGGATTAGTTGTCAAGGGCTTTAAGGTTCACTACTGTGACAAGCACGGGATTAGTTGTCAAGGGCTTTAAGGTTCACTACTGTGACAAGCGCGGGATTAGTTGTCAGGGGCTTTAAGGTTCACTACTGTGACAAGCACGGTATTAGAAGAGGGTACAACCGTACAAGGTTTATCGGGTACAGAGGGTTTCAGAAACAGGTCTCGAAATGACTACAAAATAAGGGGGGTTGCACACACCAGGGATAGGAGTTCAATCACTAGCAATAGGCAGAGTGTAGACATAAATGCAAGGCGGACACCATCCTGGGTGGGGCCAGGCCAGCAGGAAGTAGGAGCTCTACAAATTGGGAGGGTAACATACGCAGCCCGAGGGATTGAAGGATGCTCTAGAGCAAGAACTCTAATGTTTTTTTTTTTGTTTTTTTTGTTTTTTTTTTGTTTCAAGGCTCCAATCTATTGGTGGGGAGCAACACGTGCTGGGAACCGGGCCCAGCGTCCCATATGGAAATATACATACAATTTTGAAAATTGAGATGCCGGGGCCATTTGTACTGTTTTCAGTGTTTTGTACAGATGTATTCGTGGGACGTTGGGCCCGGTTCCCAGCAGGTGAGGCTCCCCACCAATAGACGGAGCGGCCCGCCAGGCAAAGCCTCAATCCCGGTGGTTCTCTTACCACCACCAGGATAGAGGCCTTGTATAAAAAAAAAAAAAAAAAGAGATGCCGGGGCCATTACCCGGCTTTGGCTCAGAAAAAAAATGGAGCTACTTCGAAAATAACCACGACAAACTTCAAAATATGAACAGAATTCAGAACTACACAGAAACCCCCCCATCCATCCACTTTACCTCACTCCGGCAAGACTCACTGCAGCCGAGTCACCATCTCCGCTGCTGCTATACCCTATTCCCATCCTACCAGCTAGCCCCCTCACTAGTAGGACGCGTGATACCCCACCATCTCCTTCCCCACTAACCTCGTTCTTTTTTGGCTCAAAAAGTTGGAGCTACTTAAGAAATGACTGCAACAGGTTTCAAGAATAGGCAGGATTCAAAATCCAACTTAGAAAAGAACCCCCCCATCAATCCTCTGTCTTATCCTCCGGCAAGACTTACTGCAGCAGAGCCACCATCTCTACTGCTGCTATACCCTATTCCAATCCTACCAGCTTGCCCCCTCACTAGTAGGACGCATGATATCCTTCCATCTCCTTCTCCCACTCACCTCGTTTCTTTTAAGAATAGACCGCCGGGGTCGTAAAAGAAATCTCAAGCTCCCTAACAAGCCTTCCCAGGGTTCCTCAAAGTTGTCTTACTCTCTGCCGAGCTCTTCCAGGCCTCACACCCCCACTTTCTGCTGGGTTACAGGACAACACAACTCGCCCCAGCTCCGGCCAGCGTCGTCCCGGCAGCAAACCTTGGTTGTTCCGTGAGATGCCCACCCCAAAGCATCCCCAGATCTCTCTATCAGGCCTCACGCTCCTGTGTCGACAGGTTACAGGGCAACATCCCAGCACCGGCCAGCGTCGTTCTGGCATCGAACAGCCGCAGATCGATGAGTATAACAACTTCAAAGTAGCCCAGGAAAAGTTTATAGAGGTCCCAGAATCCTAAACCTTCTCAATTCCCCCTAACTACCAACAGGATAGAATTTGGAAAAGGGGGTAGAAACTAGAAATTAATAACCACTACCACTATCCTAAAATCCCCCTCTCAACAAGCGGACCGTTGGTCCCGGCTTTCAGTCCTCGTACCAGAACTCACCTGGTCTCATACTCCCCTCTGCTAGGGTAACAGGGCACCACAACCCTCCCCAGTACCGACCAACCTAGTTCTGTCGGACAGGAAGTTCCTTCCCCCCTCGACACTTCCTTTAGCGGCAAACCCCTAAACAGGTTACAGGGTCCAAACCCCGGCGCCAACTTCGTTGGTAGATCTGGTTACGCCTTCCACCCTCGGCATAACTCCATAGACCTCAAGCTCCCCCTGGGTCACAGAGCACAGCTCCAGCACTGGCCTTTGTCGTCCCAGCATCATCCTCCTGACCTACTCACCTTAACCGAGATCTTCCGTCTATTGAGAGTCTCCTTTCTTCTTTCCATCCTCCCATTCTAGTTCCCCCTCCCGGCAAGCTTTGAGGCAATCATCAACAGAAAAAGTACCGCCAAAAGATTAAGATGTATAGCCGTAGGAACAAAATTTAAGAATCTATCTGGAACGTCTTTTTGAAAATGAGATCACATAGTAATCAAAGGAATTTAGGTCATGAATTTTGGCATCCAATTCAGAACACTTGGAAACCAAAAACACTTAGAAAAATACGACTAGGAAGTTAAGATTTACAGGCATAGAAATACTTCGGAAACATACTTTCAGAAATTGAAAATTGGGAGCAAGAACTCTGATGGCAAAATGCCCAACAAACATTGCAGCATTACAAAGATGTATCCAAGGGACGCTGGACCCGATTTCCAGCAGGTGTTGCTCCCCACCAATAGATGGAGCCTCCCCGGCGGTGCTAGGTGTGCCTGCTCATATCAGCACACCTAGCATCTGGTCAGGTTGTTCATTTAAAAAAAAAAAAAAAAAAAAAAAAAAAAAAAAAAAAAAAAAAAAAAAAACAGGGTGGGGACTCGTGAGGAATTAGGCCCAGGAGAAAAAAAAACAAAAAAGGGGAAACTACGCGGGAGTCACAAAAGTGAGTTATAATTGCACTATGGGCCAAGATACAGTTTGCAATTGCAGTTCGGGCAATGTATAGAACCGAGCTTTCTGGGCAGCTAGGGTGCCCGAAGTGCAATTGCAAACTGTATCTTGGCACATAGTGCAATTATAACTCGTTTTTGTGACTCTACTGAAGTTACCCCCCCCCCAAAAAAAAGTAGCCCCCCGCACTCGATAACATAAATTGAGAGGCCCCCCCCAAAAAAAGAAAACAGATGCAGGCAGCAGTGGAATTGAGTGGATCAAACAAACCTATTTTTTTATTTTTTTTATTATTATTATTATTATTATTATTTTATTATTATTATTATTCTCAAGATATAAAATTTCGAGAAAAGGTCCAATTAAAAAAAAAAAAAAAGGGGTAACTTCGGCGCAGTCACGAAAACAGTGCACTTCAGGCAATCCCGCGAATACAACACACCCCCACGCGACCCCACTGGACCCAAAACGTAGGTCACATACATTCAGCATTACCGGCCCTTTTGCCTCAAGTGCAATTACAAACTCAATCCCTGACTGCGCCGTAGATTTCTCAAAAAAAAAGCACATATGCCTGTCACTGCGACTGCACCCGGTAGGAAGTGGAACAAGTTCTCTGTCTCTCCGCACTGTTTTCTGTCCTGAAAAGAAACATTGAAATTTTATTTCATCC